ATTTCTCCATACATGACGATGTCAGAGAAATTATTAGTCGCAACCCCTATCATGTGAATAATATAGGCAGATTTTAATGTATTGATGAACAAAGTAGTGAACTCCCTTTTAGTCAATAGGGATACACTTGAGGAACAACGTTCCTCCATCGTTATGAATATTGTCGAAAGCTTTCATTGCACTTCATATTCATGTTTTGCAATATTGTTCGATCAGGGGCCATATCAGCCATGTGCTTGTATTGGCCAAAAAAGGCTTGAGCTAAGTCTTTCCAAGAATGTATTTGAGTACGTTTTAGCTGATTATACCATTTATAATCATGTCTAAATAAACTATCTTGAAAACAGTGGATCAACAACTCCTCATTCTTTACATAGCCAGTCATGCGACGACAATACATGGTGATATGAGATGAAGGGCATGTGGTCCCATTATATTTCTCTAAATCTGGAACCTTGAACTTTGGTGGGATAACCAGGTCAAGGACAAAACTTAGCTCTTTGGCGTCAAACCCATAAAATGACTCAGCAGTCTCTCTAGATTTTATCACATCTTCTATATTTTTCAATCGTTGGATGAGTTTTTTCTTCTCAACTAATTCATTTGGGTAAGAGATCTCATTATCAGTACAAAATTAATATGGCTTCAACCCAGAAGCAGTATGGAAATCAATGGGGAACAAAGCTTCAGCTTGATATTGTGGGTTCTTAACAGTGAAGTGAACTGGTGGTTGGATTTCCTGATGTACAGAGGTGTGCTCAGGAATGTGAACAAGTGTAACACCCAGAGGATTTGTGGGGTTTTCAACAAGACTCTTTCCAGCGGTTAAATGCTTCCTAATAATTTCTTTCATATTGTTCAGTAGATCGATATGAGAAATTACAATATTAGCTTCAATTTGTGCCAACTTACTCCTCAATTTTTCCTGCGTCTCTTTTTGCTCTATCTCAAATTTGGCTAGCCTATCCTCAGTTTCTTTAGACATTTTCTTGTGTCGTGCTAAGCGTTCTTGCTACAAGTAAGAACCAAGATCACTTTGATCGAAATCCTTATTTTAATGAATGAATGTTTTAATGCATGATTTGGAAATGTATTGAGCAATACAAATGTAATGCAAACAAAAGAAATTAATATAAACAAGTTAGAGCAAAATAAATGTAAAAATAAATAAATAAATAAAATAGTTAGTATCAATTAATGAAAAGAAAAGATTCTATCTATCATGGTATCCTAACCTCATGCTTTCTAGTTTCATGCTTTGTTGAGAAAAATTAACCTAACCGCATAATTACTAGTTCGCATGCATTTATTTAGAAGAAAAAAATAAAATCAAATAAATTAAAAGCTAGAGTTTATTTCTCCTTTGTGTACACCTACAGACAAGGTTTCAGCATTGTCTTAGATCGTGTGAATTTCTAGGGTTTATTATATGCAGGGATTCAATTCTAGGAGTAAAGGTACTCGAATTGTCCTTGTTGGTGCCCCTTGGGCTGTCAAACCCTCAATCCTAATCCATTACAGTCTTAAGCGGATCGAGTTAAATTTGAGGGGACACATTTCTCTATGTTTGACACGGAGAATAAATTCTCATGAATACGTCGCTTTCACTCCCACTTAAAAGGGAAAAGAGCTCGAGTATGGAGCTTATGTTATGCAATGCAAGTGTTATGTGTGAGGAGAAATTTTTACACAAAAATTAATATCTAAAAAGAAATTAAATACAAATAAATATACAAGGGTATAAAATAAATTGAAAGAAATAAAAAGAATCATAAATTAAATAAAATTGGATTCTCAATTTCTAATTATACAGACAATATATAATTTTAGGTTTGACCAGGGTCCCCAGTGGAGTCGCCAAGCTGTCGTAACCAGTTTTCGCCCGGGCATGAAATTTCCTTGGCGGAAAAAGTAATGTGAATGAATAAATGGTTTTTATTAAAAAAATGTTTTGGGAGTCTCCATCGACCTTTTGGGTTAGGTAGGTTGAATACCTAAAAATCATCTTTTAAAAGAGTTTTTAAGAAAACATCAGTTAAAATATAAACCCGACTGCATTTTAACCAAAAATTTGTTCTTTTTAATAATAAAAAGGGATTCGTGGTCGGTTACGTTTGGGGAAGAATTAGCACCTCCCATAACACCCAAAATTGGTTTCTACCGATTATAAATTGTCTCTAATAATAGAATTTAAGAATTCAAATATAAATTTAATTTAATTTATGATCCTCTTATTATATATTAAATTGAGTAAATTTAAAGAAAAATAATTTTTATAAAACTAAAGTAAATATATATTTTTAGTGTTTTATAAATAGGGTATTTATTTATTTAAAAATATTAGAAAATGATATCTAGTTACTTTAAGACAACCCCTTTCTTTAATATTAAAAAATAAATAAATACTAATAATAATATGATAATTTTTTCTAAAAAATAATGCAAATAAAATTAAAGTATATATATATATATATTTATAAGGATAATATTTATTTATTTTAAAAATATTAGAATAAGACCTCTAGTTGCTTTAAGACAACCCCTTTCTTAATACTAAAAAATAAATAAATATCATTATTTAATTAATTTGTGAAATTAATCATATAATACTTATGAATTTTTCATATGTATGTATATATATATATATAATAAAGATAAAATAAAGGACTATAAGTATTGAAATATAAAATGAAATAAATAAATAAATAAAAAAGTGACCAAAATAAAAGGAATTAAAAGTTATAAGACTAACACGTAAAGTATATAAATTAAAGAATCTAGTTCAAATTATTAAAATCTATGTATGAATAGTGTAATTTATCCTTAATTATTAATTAGTGATTAAAATATAAAATATTATAATCTGAGGGACTAAATATAGTATTTACCCTAAATATATAAATATACTGGAAATGGCTAAAATAAAAATAAAATAAAATTAGAAGACAAAATTAAAATATCCAGAAAATCAATTCCAGTGACTAAATTGCAAATGTTACAAACTGGGATGACTGCGGAAAGGGTTTTTCCACGTGCGAAATTTCTAACACACCCATCCCCAAAATGATGTCGTTTGGGGAGGGCTATAAATACCCTAAAACCGGCCCTCTTGGGCCATTTTCTTCTTCTTCTCCGTTTTGCTTCTCTCTCTAAAGCTCTGGATATCAGGTCACCGGAGGAAAACCAACCACCGTTTTCGGCGTCAATCGTCACCATCGGCCACCGCCGTTGGTGGCCGAAAATTCCCAAATTACCCAAAAATGTAGATCCCGTCGTCCTAAAGCCCGATCTAAGGTTATTTTAACCTAAAAGCCCACAATAGTCGTAAATCTATGATTTTCACCTTCGACGTTTTAGTTCTCCAGAGGCGAGTGAAGGCTCTGATGGTCGCGTAGTCCTCTCGGTAAGGCTCTTTTCCTTTTTTTTTTGGTTTACTACTTGGTTGTTGTGGTTGTGTTTTTGCTCTCTATCGTTGGTCGTCGTCCTCGTTCTTTCCCTTTCTCCGTTCGGTATCTTCTCTTCGTCCTCTTCTCTTTGCAGGTGGTCGATGGCTTTTATAGCCATCGACGGTGTCCTCCTTGGATCGGGTAAAGAATGGCCCTCGAGGTGAGTCACCGAACTATGGTGGTGACTCACCATAGAGCTTCGACGTGTGGAGGGGCAGTTGGCTTCTGGAGCATTTTGGCGAGGCGTCGGCGTCGGCAGTGTATGTAGATGTGGAGGCGACAGCCTCGTGGCCCTAGGGTTATGATACCTTAGGGTTTACTGCTGGGACCATTTTGACCGTTGGATCAAGGTCAGATCCAACGGTTGAAGGAGTTGTTGGCTGCTGGAAATGATATAAACCCTAATCGAATTTAGGGTTAATCTTGGTCCTGGACCAGGTTGGGCTTGTAAACTGGGTCGGGTTTGTATCTCTTTGGGCTTCGGGATATGTAAATGGGCCTCAGGTTGTTGTATTTTGGGCCTGTAATATAAATTTAAAAATAATAATAATAACAATATATAATATTAATAATATATATATATATATATATAATAATAATAATAATAATAATAATAATAATAAAATCATAAATAAAAATAAATGGGCAAAAAAACTAGTGTCTACACGTAGCATGTTTTGTCAAGTGAGGAAAAAACAATCTAGGTTTTTCCATTTCCTAGGTGAAAACGAGCCTACTTTCACAGTCGATTTGAACTTACCATGTCAAGAAATCTGCCTAAAAGTTGATACTCCATGAGATAATCAACTGTGAAAAGGAAGAGCGTTTCAAAAACTTAATCTTTACGTGGCCATGCAAGAAGGCCACGTGGAGCTCATGTAAGTTTTGGGAACCATCAACCGACAATTTTTGAGTGTGTGGGGGCATTAGATGGAAAATATTTTCCATCCTTGTTTTGACAAATTACAATTCATGGTTTAATGTATGTCTTCAATGATACCCTCCACGTTTTGAAAAGCGTAACTGCTTGCATGAAAATTTTCCATCCTTATTTTGACAAATTACAATTCATGTCTTCATGTATGTCTTCAATGATACCCTCCACGTTTTGAAAAAAGTAATGCCTTTTTCTCCTTCTTTGCTTCAACGGTGTCTTACCCTTTCACACCAATTCAAATAATTAGACCCCAAAAGAATTACTCACACTATTGTTTACTATATATATATATATGGATAGATTCAATTATACAATATAAAATTCTTTTAATTTTATATAGCTTTAGGATTGTAGAATGAGTTAAAATAGATGATTGATTAATATGTAGTCTTTAAACAAGCGACAGGTTTTTAAGCCAGTATGGGATTTTTAAAATTTACAATAGTATAGCCAATACGAACCGATAAATGCAAATTTATGACAAGTTACCATATTTAACATTTAGAAAAATACCTTCAGGCTTTTCATTAATCTCACATTTGAATTTCCAAAATAAGATGATGGAAATGGATTTCCAAAGTAAGACGTCTGTTTACACAGGTTTGATTTTTTTTTTATTACAGTGGGTGAATAAAATTCAAGAAAATCCAAGCTATGCAAATAAAATCTGCATATTATTAAAGAGCAAGATTTCTTACCAAAGTATTTGCTTACCTGATAAGACCAGTCGCCTAAGCTGTAATGGTTTGATAAAACTCGAATACTGGAGGAGGATGTTACCTAATTGAACAGGGAGCATTTATGTTGTTATTGTCAGGAAAAATGAATATCATTCAGTGTTTAAAACAACATGCCAATTGACCTAATGTAGAAGAAAATATACGTGTGCCCGTACGTATACACATGCATGCATGCACACATACGTAAATAGCATTTTCATGAAAATTGAAAGAAATTTGAGATAAGCATAGTGAAATAATACACTGAAGCTGTGACCGCCAAAAGTCAGAACCAAAGGTCAGCATGTCGTAAATTAGGTGGAAATACTCATATTAAACTAAAGACCTTAATACAAAGTTTTCACTTTTCAGGGTCAACATTTGATAAAATGTAAAAAATGTTGGCAATAAATCTATACCGTATCAGGCTTAGTTACTGATAGATCAGAAAACTGGAAAAGAGTCTGGGGGCCTTTTCCGGTACTCAATTTCGCTGCTAGATCATGAACAAACATGATTTCACTCTCCTCCCTACTTTCTTCCTGTGAATAACAGAGAGGAACATGAAAATGATATTTTGCGACAAATTTAGCAAACAAACCCAAAAGAGAAAAGCATTGACTCCCATATGCCTTACCATAAAAGTAACAGTAAGAAATTAGAATAACAACTGAAGTTGTTCACGCATGGAAATGTACAAACTCTAGCAACTAAAACCCTTCAAAAGATGAAATCAATAACATATATTGATACCTCTGCAAACGATAAGGCTACTCGAACAATTTCCATTTGCGAATTCATTTATCCTTAAAAGAATTTGGCGAGAGTATTTAAATAAATTGCCGAACATGAAATTAGGGTATAGCATAACCCTTGGTATTTTATGTTTCACCTTTTGAAACTGCAGTACACCGGTGAATTATGCAGAATTAGAAAGTACTTACCTAGGTGTTCAGATAATTAGAGGCTTCTAGTTCCTGGTTCACCATTTAAAAGAGTAACGTTAATCAGTTTCCAATCCTGTTTTCTGCTATTTTCTTCATCCTCTTGCCTCTTCATTTTCCCATTTTCACGAGGCTTTCTCTAACAGCTATCAAAAGACTAATTTGGCTTGATCATTTTCAACAAAATATCCTGCCCATCCATTACAAAGGATTCGTACACTGATCATTTCCTTTTTCCACATCATATTATTTTTAATGCCACGACTCACAAGCTTAAGACATCTTAGTTGCATTAGCATAACTATATTTTGTATATCTCATCCTAATTATTACTAAACGATATTGTCCAAGCTCAAGAAATAGATCGGTTTGTTCCCTCACTTGCTCAAGAAGAGACCCTGTTACAGATAAACAAGATAGACAAGATTTGGGCAGCAGAAATAGGATAAAAGGAATAGATATCTATTGGTGAAAACAGTTAGCCTGCAAAACAGCCCCACATACAATAAATTAACACCTTTATGGTCTTTAATGAAGTTCAACATCTGAAATATCCTTTCTAATGAAGCTTGCGGGCATCAGAAATAACTAGGATCAGATTTCTACTACAAATATTAATGTGCCTCTTTCATTTAATCATGCGGAAATTAATTGGTGTGCATTTTTAATCTCTATTGGCATAACTACCTATCAGTATGCTATTCCAAGTGTCAAGAAAGCATCTGAAATCCAAAAAAATAATCGACTTATGTCCACTTCCGTCATAGTTTTAAATGCATGTTGTCGTAACCAGTTTTCGTCCGGGTACGAAATTTTACTTAGCGGGAAAAATAAAACGAATAAATAAATGATTTTGATTTAAAAATTATTTTGGGAGTCGTCATTGACCTTTTTGGGTTAGGTAGGTCAAATACAAAAAAAACAATCTTTTAAAATAGTTTTTAAGAAAACATAATTTAAAAGATAAACTGATCTGCATATAACCAAAAATTTTAGCAAAACATGATTCGTGGTCAATTACGTTTAGGGAAGGATGAGCACCCCTATAACGCCCAAAATTTGGTACTTATTAATTATAAATTGTCTCTTTTATTAGAATTTTAATGATTCAAAAATATATTTAATTTATAATTCTGTTATTTCAAATTTATTAGTATAATTTTAAGAAAATCTATTAATTTTTATATAAATAAGATATTTATTTATTTAGAAATATAAGAAAAAGGCTTCTAGGTGCTTTAAGACAGCTCTTTTCTTCGATATTAAAAAATAAATATTAATAAAATGTTTCTTAAAAATTAGTATATATTTTATAGGATAAAATATCCGAAAACGGACTTCTAAGTGCTTTACGATAGTCTTTTTCTTTAATATTATTAAAATAGGATTATATTTTTTTATATAAAAATAATTTATATAAAGAATTTTAATAAAAAGTAAAATAAAATATATATTATTTCTTATATATATATTTTTAAAAATAATAATTTAAATATATTGATAATAAACATATAAAATTAAAAAAATAACTAAAATAAATGAAATTAAAAATAATAAACTAATAATTTAAAGTTAATGACTAAATTAAAATATATTAAAATTAAACATCCTAATTCGTAATTAATTACTTGAAATTTCAGTGGCTAAACATGCTATTCTACCCTTTTATTAATTTAGTGACTAAATAAAATTATATCAAATTCGTACATCAAATTAAAAGAAATTAAAACATGTTATTCAGGGTTTAAAATATTAATTAATAAAATTATGAGGGCTAAATCGGTTATTTTACCTAAAAATATATAAGTAAATCAGTGGCTAAATTATAATGAATAAAAATTAATAGACCAAATTATAATATATATAAAAACATGCTACAAGGATCAAATTGTAAGTTTTCAAAGTTACAGTGGCTGCAGGAATAGTTTAGCCATGCACGAAATTACACAAAGGCCCTCCCTTAAACGACGTCGTTTAAGAGAGGGTATATATACCCGATTATAGCTGGTCCTTCCGGCCACCATCTCATTTCTCTCATTTCTCTTCTCTCTCTAAACTGAAAGAGTTTAAAACTCTCTCTCGCTTCTCTCTAAAATTGAGAGAGAGAGAGCACCGGTCGCCAGCCTTGTGCCGCCGTCAACCTTACCGCCGGCCACCGCATCCGATGGCCAGAAAATTTTATTTTACACCAAAATATAGATCGGACCGTCCTAATGACGGTTCCGGTGTCCTTTTCCCTTAAATGGCCCCCGATCGGAGCAAATCTAGGAAAATACCTTCGGTTTTCGAAGGTTTGTTTTGACGCGTGGAGGCTCGTATGAACTCCGGTAATGGCGTGGCTTCCTCGGTAAGTATCTCTCCGTCTTTTCCTGGTTATTTTGGTGTTTTAGTGGTTGCTGGGTTACTTGTTTTCCTCTGTTGTTCTCTGTGGCTTGCTTCCTCTCTTTTTTTTTTCTTCCTTCTCTTTTGCAGGTAAATTGAGACTTTATAGCCACTCTGGTACTGGCCTCAGACCGGTTAATATGGTGGCAGTTTGGTGAGTCACCAAACTTTAGTGGTGACTCACAGTGGCTTTGAACGTGGATGATTGGGCTTGAGTATTCTGGAAGCTCTCGGTTGGCGTCGTGGCAGCATGTAGACTAGCGTGGAACGACGTAGATCAGCGGCAACAGCGTCGTCGGCCGCGTGTCCCTAGGGTATCATACCCTAGGGTTTGCATCTGGAGTATATGGGGACCGTTGGATCAAGGCCAGATCCAACGGCTGTTGTTGTTGGCAGCTAGGGCAGAGATGATACAAACCCTAACCATTTAGGGTTACTGTTTGGGCCACCGAATCTGGGCCCGAGCTTCTGTATTTGGGTTGGGTCTGTAATAGGAAATGAAATTATTTAATAATAATAATAATATAATAATTATAATTATAATTATAATTATAATTATAATTATAATTATAATTATAATTATAATTATAATAATAATAATAATAATAATAATAATAATAATAATAATAAAATATAAATAATATTCAAATGAAAAAAAATGAGTATCTTCAGCTACCCCTCTTTGCTTATTCTTGTGTTAATAAGAATAGGGCAAAGACGAAAAAATAATAAGTTTTTTTTCATTTGACTTCACTTGATTATGATGGAAATGTTGAACAAATTCTTCTTTGGGATTAGTTCTTCTTATTATGAACTTTTCCACTGGGGATGACAATTTATCTCCTTCTGTGATATAATTATATAAAGGTTGAATAAGTTCTGCTCCTTCTTCTTCAGATGAGTTCTTCTCATTATGAACACTTCTGAAAATGTTGATACTGGTCTATCTCCTTCTGTGATAGTGTCACGAAAAAGGTTGAACAAGCTCTTCTCATTATGAACTTCTTCTTCCTTCTTCACATGAGTTCTTCTCATTATGAACTCTTCCAGAAATGTTGATCCATCGAATGATGAATTCAAACAAAAGGTTTGACCAAATTCTTCTCATTATGAATTTCTTCTTCATTCTTCAGATGAGTTCTTCTCATTATGAACTCTCTCTGGAAATGCTGATCCATCAAGTGATGAATTTGAGCAAAAGGTTAAACAAGTTCTTCACATTATGAACTTCTTCTTCCTTCTTCAGATGAGTTCTTCTCATTATGAACTCTTTCTGGAAAAGTTGATGCTGATATATCTCCTTCTGCGATAGAGTCACGAAAAAGGTTGAACAAGCTCTTCTCATTATGAACTTCTTATTCCTTCTTCAGATGAGTTCTTCTCATTATGAACTCTTCCGGAAATGTTGATCCATCGAATGATGGATTTGAATCTTTTCTAAAATCTTTGAATTTCCTGTCAAATATTTAACATGGATAAAATGGATGAAAATGCACCTATTTTGCAAATGTCTAAATATGATGCATGAATGTTAATTTCATCTTTATTTAATTTCAAAGAGGTGAACTTAGTCTTTCTTCAATTGTGTAGAAATCCAATAAATCTTTCCTCTTTGAACGGAGAATCTATCATCTTTGAAGAGTGTAGTTGTAGATATGCCTGAATTTTTGCATGATGTCGCAAAACCACTTGAGAATAAAACTCAATAATATAGGCTCTTGAAAAGTCCGCACTCATACAACATGTTGATTCTGATAACTACTCATCTAACTATGAAGCGATCTTTCAGGGTGATTTCACATATATTGATAGTTCTTATGATACCGAGGAAATCCTGAATTCTGATTATGATGAGGAGAGTAAACTGTTATACTTGACGAAAATGGGATACTCAGATGCTAAGTCTTCAATAGTCATAGAGATGTGGTACGGATTCATCAATTGCAGAGTTGACGGATTTTATATGTGCTGCTCAAATGGTTAATGCTACTAACACACTTCTTCTGGTAAAAGATAGGAAGACATTATGCAATTATTCCAATTACAAGAAAAGGCAAAACTTGGGCTATGATTTTCTTTAGAAAAATAAGAAGTAGAAGTAGCTTGAAAAGAAGCTTTTTAATGAAGACGATCATGCAGTTCATCTTTCTAATCCAATGATTGGTTTTGGAGTTCCTACTGAACCAGATCAGATAACTCAAACAACACTTCCAGAA